CTGGTTCGACCTTTCGGTCAGTCCGTTCGCCTGTGGATGGTATGCCGACGCGAAGTGATGGTCCACTCCAGCTTGTTGTAGGTAAGTGCGGAGCTCGCGACTGCGAAAGGTGGTCGACCGGTCTGAGATCAACTTGTTAGGAAGACCGTGTCGCCATTCGAAGCGATCTTTCAGGAATCGGATGACATGGCTAGCAGCAAGCGAAGGCACGGCCGCGACCTCTACGAACTTGGACAAGTAGTCCACAGCGAGTATAATGTAACGATTGCCCGCTGTCGTCATTGGAAGAGGCCCGATGTGATCTATGCCCAACGTGTGGAAAATTGTCTCTGGAGGCTTGATCGGCGTAAGAAGTCCATGTCGAGCTCCAGGACGTCGTTTGTGTTGCTGACAAATCTCGCAACTGGCAACGTATGAACGCACGCTTTTATCCATTTTCGGCCACCAAAAACGTTCTTGTGCCTTGCGTAAGGTGGCTCTGTAGCCAACATGGCCTCCCTCGGGAGTGTCATGGATGGCGCGTAGTACGCTCGATCTTAAGGTGTCAGGAATGACCAGGAGATGACACTCGGTGCTTTTATCGGCCCAGTGACGCCGATACAGCGTTCCATTACGTAAGACAAACTTGGCATTGCGTCCCGCATCGCCAATGGAGTCTATAACGGATGCGAGTCTTCCATCGGCTTGCTGAGCCTTGGTCACGTCCTGTTGCGAAAACAGGATCCAGGTTTCTCGATTTCGTGTGGAGAATTCCTCGATCGGATTTCGCGATAAAGCGTCCGCAAGCTGATTTTGTGCTCCAGCACGGTGACGGATGTCGTACGTATAGTCTTGGAGCCGAACAATCCATCGGGCAAACTTGTGCTTGAGGTGCTGCTTCTGGAACATCCACGCAATCGCGGAGTTGTCTGTTACTACCGTGAAGTGTCGGCCAAACAAGTAGTGGCGGAACTTTTCATCCACACTCCATACTACAGCCAAACACTCCAGTTCATTCGAATGATAATGCCGTTCTGCGTCCGATAGTTTACGACTGGCGTAGCAGATGACGTGCCCACGCCCACTCGAGTCACGTTGAAGTAAAACCGCCCCCAGGCCAATCTGACTCGCATCAGTATGGACTTCTGTCATCCAATCTTCATTAAAGTGGCAGAGCACCGGGCTATGTGTAAGCTGGTGTTTGAGGGTTTGGAAGGCGTTATCCTGCAAAGGACCCCACTGAAATTGGGCGTTTTTCTTCAGTAAGTCCGTGAGTGGAGCAGCAGTTGACGCAAAGCTCGGTACAAACTTGCGCAAGTATGACGCCATTCCTAGGAATACCTGGAGCTGTTTTATAGATGTTGGTGCAGGGTATTTGGCAACGGCGTCTATGCGTTCAGGCAAGGGTCGTACGCCATTATGAGATATCTGATAACCAAGATAAGATATTGTCGTCAACCCAAACTGGCACTTCTCGCGGTTAAGTCGAAAGCCGGTGTTGTGTAGCCTCTGCAGAACCGTGTCGAGATTTTGTAGATGTTGTTTTTCTGTTTCCCCGATGACTAGAACGTCATCGAGGTACACGACGCAGGCACGGTCTATCAGTGTGCCTAACACTGTGTTCATGGCACGCTGAAAGGTGCTTGGAGCAGTTCGCAGACCGAACGGCATCCGATTAAACTCGTACAAGCCAGATGGTGTTCGGAAGGCCGTCTTAAACTTATCTTCTTCAGCCACGTTGATCTGCCAATACCCTGCTTTTAAATCTAGCGACGAAAAGAACCTCGCTTTTCGTACGGCGTCAATAGCGTCGTCAATGCGTGGCAGCGGGTACGAGTCTGGTATGGTGTGCTTGTTCAGCTCTCGGTAGTCAACACAGAATCGGAGATTGCCGTCCTTTTTACGGACTAGGACAACAGGTGCTGCCCACGGGCTAGAAGATGGCCTGATTATGCTTGCGGCAAGCATTTCTTGCACCTGCTGGTCAATTAATATCCGCTCTCGTTCGGCATATCTACGTAACGGTATGGACACCGGCGGATGATTGTCGGTAGTAATATGGTGCACTAGCACGCTAGTTCCGGGAAGCTGAGTAGTAGTATCAGCGAAGAGCGATGCGTGCCTCTCGAGTATTGCGGGAAGTGTAAGTGGCGTCGTCAGCTCACCTTGGGATTGCGCCGGAGGCACACTTGGAGCCACAGGATGGAGGTTGACGGTACTTCCTTCCACCGTGAGGCGCACTTCCCCGGAGAGCAGGTAGTCGGCCCCTAAAACCATGTCTGTGGGCAGGTCGTCGAAGACGGGCACCGAGGACAAAAACTTGCTGCCGGCCTCGGTGTTGAGTTGCAGGTTTAGGGCACCGACCGGTAGTACGTCGCCACCGAGACCCCGCAGTGGTGGCTCAGTCCAAGGCTGGAGGGGTTCGGAGGCGTGGCGGCGAAGCAACGCCGTACGTTGAGCTCCGGTATCAACGAGAGCTGTCAGTTCTCCGATGCCGTCGACGCGGACCTTGAGGGTTGGAAGTGGGCGTGATTGATATTGCATCGCTTGAGGTTGACTTTGTGGGCAGCTTTTATACCCATGCCCGATGCGGCCACACGTATAGCATCCGCGTCTCGGTGAAGCTGACTCCTTTGGGCCAACTGCAGCCGCCCGGCGATGAGACGTGTCCTGCAACTCCATTGCCTGGCGTACGAAAGTGGAGATGTGGACTGGGTGGTTGTAGGCGGACAAGACGGCTGCGTGCGTCGAGTCATGGATCCCGTCGATGATGTACTGCCTGGCTGCGGAGGAGGTCCACTGTATATCGCAAGCTTGTAAAAGGTCCAGCTTGTCGTAGATGTAAGTCGCGACGTCCTCGGTTGCACCTTGCCGGCGTGACCGCATGGTCATGAAACGGTCGTCGTAAGCGCTCGGAAGCGGCGCAAACGCGGATATCAGGGCCGCGCTCCATGTTTGCCATGTAGCGTATGTACTGCCTTGGAAACGATGCCACGCTTGGGCAGATCCTCGCAAACGTCCTTCAGCGACCGACTTCTTAATCGTGTCGCTCCACGAGTATTTAAGGGCAACCGAGTTTATCACGCTTACCCAGTTGGTAGGGTCATCCTTGAATCCCTGAAAATATGGAATTTCGTTCTCGTTGAACGATCCAAAAGAGGCGCAGCCAAACCCGGATGTCTTGAGCTCTTGGGCGAACAGAGAGAAGCCTCGAGAAATGGCCTCGCTGCAGTCATGATGCGGTGCCGCCGTGGAGGCTTGGACGCCGTCCGTGATCGGTGGGGAGTTCGAGAGCACTCGTCCACTTCGAAGTGTAGTGGACGCAGGGATATCGGGGTCAGTAGTTCGCGACTGCGCCATTGCAACGAGGAGAAAAGAGACAAAGAGACAACGCCTTTGCTGCAGGCCGGCTGTTCTTTTTCTGCCTCCTCTTCGTCGTCTTCCTTCTCTTCCAGGTATGCGCCGAGCACGATCGCCGCTTTGTCATCATTACAATATATATATATATATATATATATATATATATAATCATCCGTGCTTTCTGCATCATGAATCAAGACGACATATTGCTGAATAAAAAGTTACTGAGCATGCCCAGACTTCAAAGCAGTTTCGGCATCCGGCCGAAGTACTACGCATGCACTGCCATCTGAGCAAATATACTGTGCAGAGCGGCGAAAGTGTGTTAAGTGAATTGGGTGCCAGACCGTCGTAGTCGTTTAGGTTAGCCCTTCCCCTATTTGCCAGGAACGGGGAGGGCGCAAACGAAGCTTTGCATGTGCGTGTCTATCATTTCTTTATTTCCTTCATTTATTTATTTGTTTCTATTCATTTGCTTCTTTCTCTTTTCCCTTCCTCTTCGTTCTTTCTTTTTCCTATCATTCCTTCTTTGTACTGCTAACCATGCTGATAACCGTGCGTGCACCCTAAAAAAATATTTACCTTATGTTTTTAAAAACGCCAGGCCTGCGCGGAAGGCGCAGCACAGTCACAGCGAAAGCTAGAAGAGCGGCCTTTCAGAGCTTTTTTTCAACACTCATTAGATAACTACTGGCATCACACTTGCTTCATACCCACTAGGCCATTAATAACAATAATAAAAGATTGGATAGTAGGCTGGCATTTGCTATGCTATTTTTCGTCATTCTTCTGAGAAGCGTGGTATCCGCTAAACACTTGCAAGGAATTTTGTGCCCATTGTTCGTGCAGTGGCCGACGATGATCATGAATTATGCCTGAAGTGGGTATGTGCCACAGTCAATAGTAGAACTAGAAAAAACATTTGTACTGAGTTGGAGCATCGGACGACCCACTCGTTACGCTTTTCGCGTTCTGCTTGTTCTTTCGCTGTTTTAAAACGCTTTATAAGTCGTATACGCGATTGCTTTCCCGACGTAAAGCCTGCCCAAGGCAGGTTTGCGAACAATTCCAAAGCACCGGCGTGGCTCAGTAGTAGAGTACTGAGCTGGCACACAGCGAACCGGGGTTCGAACCCCACTGTGTCATTGGTGCTGAGTTTTTTTTTTCTTATTTCGTGCGACTTTGGTTACGGACACTGGCGGTGGCGGCGGATAACTACGGCGCTGCGCGAGACTAAAGTTGTGATCTCCTTCCTAGCGCACCCCGACGTCACAACACGTTAGGAGCTTCTCGTCTCGTGCTCGCGTAAAATGTCGTCACTTTTCCACAACAGTTACGCACCGTGGCTGTGCTATAGTGATGCAGAAGCGGCCATTTTTAATGTTTTTGTGGCAGCGGCAAGTTCCGAGGTTCGTTCGAACTCAGGGGTTCATACCCGTTCATAAGGACGCTAGTTCGCGGGCGTGGTAAAACATTTTTTGCCGAGCTAGGATAGCTTCGCTGTCGAAAAGAATGACCAGCGAAACATTGGTAATGAGAGAGCGATCGGTTTGACCAACCGGTACGAAGGTATGAAAGGTATTAGCAGTAGCGATAATGAATATGCAAAAAGACATTACGGTGGTCTTTCACTAACCTCTCTCCTTGTTCTGTGTGTGCAGAGGTGGGCGGCATCTCCCGGAAGAACGGATTCTACTGCTCAGACGTGAGTGGCGCGGTCTTTTTTCTTTTATTTCATTCGAGATGTATAGGGGACGAACCCGAATGCGTTTAGAAAGCGCTATGCGGTAGCCGTAGACGGAAGCATATATATATATATATATATATATATATATATATATATATAATATATATATATATATATATATATATATATATATATATAGTATTGTATGTGGTGTATATAACAAGAGGCCGTGTTTCCAGCGCGCCGTCCGGCGCCAATTTGGATATCGCCCTTACATCCCGGTGAGGAATATCTCGAATTACGAGCAAGTTTAGGGATTTTTAAAAAATGTCTCTGGGATAAGTTGGCACCTGCTGCTGCAACACTTTAATACGAATATTTACGCTGAAGTCAATTAAGGAAGTTAAATATGGAGGTAAGTATTCTAGCCAATGTGATTTCAGATGCGGTCAAATCACTTTCCTTTCGATACGTGTGCGTAGTGTGCATAAGTAGGAGAAACGGGATTGTCTTATAATTCTGTTGCAATATTTATTGTAAAAAAAAATCCGTATATGAAAACTCCGGTAGCGTCGCTGTATTTGCGCATTCAGCGTTGCCAGTGCTGTTGGTGGTTTACTTCTAACCCTTTTTTGCATGCTGTCCACTATAGTGGACCGATTTCTGAAATTTTTGAAACAGCTGTGGCGACTCTGAGAGGCGCATGTGCATATTGGTACCTAAGCGGGCAAAAAGGGCTTTCATTCGCCGCATTACATGGCGCCATAATGCGATGCTTTTTCCTGCACTCTTGTTTAAGATGACTGACTCGTTCTTTGACGGATAAGTCAACTTCTCCTCCATGTTTTTTCTTAACCCCCACTTATAAAATAGCGATTTTGTTTGTTTTATTGAATTCACGCGATAGAAGCATTCATAATTACGAGCTGTAAATAATGGGGCTTAGCAAAGCAAAGATAGTTTTTTATAGCAAGTTTTTAGTATGTCCACTCTGGTGAATACCATGCATGGAGGAAACGCAGCTGTGGTACCTCCGATACGTGCATGTGGATAATGGTAACTAAAGGGGAGAAAAAGGGTTTTATTCCACCGCGGTAAACCGCGCTTTTTTCTGCGCTCTTGTTCAATTAAGGAGACTCCTACTTTGGCGGGCTTTTCAAGTTCTTCACTTTTTCTGCCTTATAACAAAGACGAAATTGTGACTCAGTATGTTTTATTGAATGTACACCATAGAAGAAGCACTCTCAGCTACGAACTGTAAATATTGTGGCTTAAATAAGTAAATCATTTTTCAAAATAGTTGAAACTTCAGCACCCCCCTAGCCTCCCTCCACAAGAAAAAACAAATTCTCGTTATTTTCCTGGTTGTGTTGCAGCTAAGTTTTCGCATTAATTTGTTCGAGCAAGACAGCGCTCGATGGCTGCAACAAAATTTTTACACCTTTCGCTAACTAAACTTCTTGTGCATATTGTCCACTGTAGTGGACATTCTGTATCTTGTGAAATCAAGCTTTTGCTTCAACAATATTTTTCCGTGCGTTTTTCTGAATGCAAAATAACAGAAAACGAAAAACAAGTACTGTTTAGATGCGTGGGTTTCTGCCGTGCAACAAAGGGTTAAGTATATTTCGAAAACTTGGTTCCAGGAATAGCGGAACATGTATGCAGCCTTATTAATACAGGCTGCTCGCAAAGTAGTTACGAGACCGTGACCACAGTATTGTTTTACTCTGAAGTGTCTTTTTAACTTCATTGCACCAATGCTTGACTTCAGGCAAAGCCTCTAGCATTGCTTCAGGATACGTGGCGTTAGCGCAAGGCTCCTCTCGTTGTTGCCGTTATGCTAGCCTTCTCGTCGATCGCTTGCTTGTTTGTTGATGTACCGTTTGTGCCAAACTGTTAGGGCCGCAGTGTGAACGAGTCCACGAAGAGAGCTCGCCTGAGAAGAGAGGTCGTCGCGTGTCAGTCTTGCCTGACGACGACGACGTTTTTGGACTGCCGGAGAAAGAGGAAAAAAAGGGGGAGGGGATCTACGTTAACGCTAAGGGTGGGGTTATTGAACCCTTCCCGTGCGTGCAGTTCGTGTGCTCGACTCGCGGGCCACTTTGCGTGCGCACAGCCCCTCTCCTCCTCTCTCCGATATCGTCGCCAGTCAATCAAGGAGACATCGGCGGCTGTGGGCAAAGAGGGAGTCATTGTTTCCGATCGAACCTTCCCCCTCTCTCGCCCTCTTACACCCTGAGACGGGGGACCGACGCTGTCAGCTGTGACGCCCCGGGGACCCGCTTTGAGCAGCCGGCCTTTGCTATGCGCTAGCCGGAAACGAGGCTTGGAGCGGCCGCTGTCGCGAGGATGGAGTATGTAGGCGGGAATAGCAATTATCTTGGAATAGATTTGCAGCCAGTTTCCGTGAGGAACAATGTCCTTGGAGCGAAACATTGACTGCAATTAGAAATCCTTCGTGCCTGTTCGTTGACCTTTCTTTCGCGTTTCTTTTTTTTTTGCAGAAGATTTACTCTAGTAAAGCAGACGTATAGTACGGTGTAAGAGTCACAGTGAAACCCGAATATGTAGAACTTGCCAAAATTGCGAATTATTTTTATATGTCGTATAGTTTTGTGTACGGCTTTTGAAGAACTTTCTAAAGAATTCGACGTCTAGCGCGAATTTCGGCGCGGAAGCGTGCTTCACCGCACTGCTTTGTGAAGTTTGCGAGAAATGTAGCTTTTCGGTAAATCGCGGGGATGCTTTAAAAGTTTCTATTTGATACAGGTTTGTAGTGGTAGGTGCACCTTTCTGAGGTTGGTAGGGGAGGTATATTCATCAAAATACTGCAAGCACCCCGCCGCGGTGGTCTAGTGGCTAAGGTACTCGGCTTCTGACCCGCAGGTCGCGGGTTCGATTCCCGGCTGCGGCGGCTAGGTTTCCGATGCAGGCGGAAATGTTGTTGTAGGCCCGTGTGCTCAGATTTGGGCGCACGTTAAAGAACCCCAGGTGGTCGAAATTTCCGGCGCCCTCGACAACGGCGTCTCTCATAATCAAATGGTGGTTTTGGGACGTTAAACCCCACAAATCAATCAAAATACTGCAAGCAACGTTGTATACAGAACTTCAAAACCTTTATACACAGCTGCGCGCCGTCGCAGGTGCCGGATACCTATAGCCTATAGTCCACCTCGTCCCTGATGTCGGAATTGATCAACATCGTGGTGTCATGAGTGGGCTTTTTCACATGTTGTGCGCAGTGATGACCTCACTCTTCTCCACGTTACTGTTCTGATCATCGCTAACTTTGAGAGTAGTCGGTTCTTCAGTTTCGCGGCATCATCATCAGCCTGACTATGCCCACTGCCGGGCAAAGACATCTCTTATGATCCGCCAAACCCGGTCGTGTGCCTTCCGTTGCCACGTTATACCTGTGAACTTTTCAATCTCACCGGCCCTTCTAACTTTGTCTCCCCTTTGTGCGTTTGCCTTCTTTGGGAATCTAGTCAGTTATCCTTAATGAACAGTGGTTATCCAGCTTAAGCGCTGCGTGCCCGACTCATGTATGCCCATTTTTTCTTAATTTCAACCATGGTATTCTTAAGCGTGGTTTGTTCACTTACCCACTCTGTCTCTTTTTGTCTCTTAAAGTTAGACCTATCATTTTGCTTTCCATCGCTCGCTGTGTCGATCCTCAATTTCAGCGGAACCCTCATTGTAGGCCTTCAGGTTTCTGCTACGTAGGCGACCATCACTAGCAGAAGCCGGAGACGAAGTGATTCTTAAAAAGAGAATAGAAGAGAAAAGTGAGCCCCGTTATTGTCTGCTTCAGTGAGCGACACCGCCACAGTAGCTCACGAGGGATGGGGGTGAGGAGGGATAAAAAGGATAGGGTTAAATATGTAGGAAAGCCGAAGAAGGAGAAGAGAGGAAGAGACGTGTGGTGGTAAGCCACAGCGAGCGAGGACAAACCGAGGGGATAGAAGAGATAGGAAAGATGGAGCACGGTCACTGGAGTCCGAGGACGGGGCGCACCTGCGAGAGCTCCTTTCGGCGTCGGTGGATGGCGTAGAACAAGTCCAGTAAGTCAGAGCTGCACTGTCGTCGGAGGTGGAAGGCCGTCGGCGGCAGGAGGTGACGTAGGGCGAGCCCAGTCGGCCAGAGCCACGCTGACGCCGGAGGTCGCAAGCGCGCGAGCGCACAACCGGTCGGCCCGAAATCCAGCAAGCGAGTCAGAAGCCGGAGAGTCGCGGAGAAGCCTACGTAGGTCGAGGGGTCGAGAACTGTGTTGTTTTTTTTGAAAATATCCTACGTCAAGGTCAGAATTGTCCTGTTTTACCCTGCACAACTTATTTATTACACTATAGACGAGAGCACGCCTATCTCGCACTCGGGCGCTCCCAGAGGCGCCATAATTTGTTTGGAACTTCCACGGCGCGTCTCGTTAGCATGACAAGCAGTGGCTCTGAGAGTTTAAAAAGCGAAAACGTGCCTGTTCACGCGTCGCCCGCTTATAAAATTTCGTCTGGATACCACTGAGCTGTCATCTGATGCGACAACAACCAGCGCAAAAGGAAGAGATTGCTGAGCACTGCCTTTGTAGTTCACAGCGCATCGCGGTAATCGTGCCGGTGCGGTGTTTTGCGATTGCACAGATTTCCGTCCACAACGAAAAATGCCAAGCTCCGCCGCCTTGGGATATAATCGCAATCAGCAGGAAAAACTACGAGCCCAGTGAAGTGTACAAGTAAGTATACTTATTGCATTTATTCAAGCTCGACTCCAGCTGTTCCACTTTACAGCAGCGATTTGCGTGCAGTATGCCTGTAGTATGAGGCACAAAACTATTGCCGTACTCTTTCGCAGGCCGCATGTCATTAATAGGATATAAGCGTATTACGACTCACGCGTGGATGCACGCACCGCGCATGTTTAGTACAACTGTAACGGCCTACTATCGCGATGCAAAGAAATGCAAACGGCCCGAAAATCATGGCTTTCGACTCGGTCAAACTGCGACATGCCTTGACTTT